GTTGAATTTAATTCACAGATCAAAGAGGGAGGAAATTAACCAACACAGTAAATTGATTATTTCATGGGTGACATAACCAAGGCAATGATTTATCTTAATAAAGAGCAACTTCCCTCTAGTCCTTAACTGAATTCCAGCCAATGCAATAATACTCGGCTGTTAATGACTTTGATGTTGATGTGGAAAAGTGAATGACTGCATAATCACTGAAATGGGACCTCATCACAGTTGGAAACGTTTAAGCCAAATCATTTTGGACTGTGAAAAGAGCCCTGAGTGGTGGATATTGGCTGGGTACCAGATCTTCAGTCTTAACTAAACAGGGCCTGAAAACTTTATCATATTGCACTACTCTGGCTGGACCATAAACTCTGACAGCTCACAGGGCTTGGAGTTTAATGCATATGTCTGTGGCCTCGTGGAGGAAAAAAAGAATTCCAGGGCTTACAGCACCGATAATAAATACATGTCTATCAGCATTGAGCTGAAAGTATAATTAGTTAAATCCGTCTTTGGGAGAGGGAATAGAAGAAAGGAAACAGAAGTCAACTTAAAAAAAAAAAAAAAAAAACTGAACCGAAGCTTATTTTTATACCCCACGATACTAAATATGGCTTAAGAGCTTGCAAGAAAGCATTAGTCATAGAAGGCAGCCTCCTCTTTCTCCCCACCTCCACTCCCCATCTCTAAATAATAAAATGAACTAAAATTAGATCTGTTTGCAAGTGTGTTCACTCAATTATTATTATCTGAGTTACAGCTGAGAAGTCTCCATGCAGGAACACCCTTGGGAACATGAGTGACTCCTCAATGCCCACATTTTTTTACTTCCAAGTAGAGAGAAGGAAAACGGCATTGGTTTCAGCCCGGTCACCATCAGCCAATGCAATGCATTTCCTTTTGTGCTAATCAGATCCTGATAACATCAGCTTCCTACAGTTAAATTATTACATCCGTGTATTATAATGCTAGTCTTTAGCAAGTCTCTGCAACACACCCCTATTTTCCCCACCCCCTAGTCTCTGCACCACCACCCCTGCTCCACCTCCCACTGTCCCCAGATGCTCCTAAACAGAAGTTCAAGGGAATTGTACAAGTAAGTCTACATCAGAGTTTGCCTGGGATGGTAAACCGAACTTACAAGAAGCACAGGTGTAGATATGTCTGAAGGGACTCCAGGCACTTGGCTCTTTAAATACCGTGGAGTCTCCAGCTTATACAACTCAGGATTACAGACTCTGAGCATTTTTTAAAAAATCTCTCTTTGAGGCAAAGATTTTAAAACTACTCATCCAGGTCTGCAGCTGGGGTTTAGTTAGTATAAAGCTGAAAATACTCAAGTGGCAAGATTAAAAACTCAGTGTTGTGGTTTGTGCGTCCTTTTTAGAAACCTCTACATTTTCTCTCCTCTACATTTTAATCCAAGCTGTGGTCAGTTTTGTTTTGTTTTTTACTTTAAAGGTAACTTTCTCTGCTAGGTACCTGCTGTGGCAGCATCCTGGCATCTGTTTCCCAATCCATTAGTTACCCTCAAAGGGTTTATTCCCTTTCAGCAATCTACTTAGGTGAGATCATCTGAAAAAAACTGTAAAATAGTATCTTCTTTTTCTTCTTTTCTTTCTCTTGGAACTCCCCACGCTATTCCTTTTCATAAACAACAAATTCTTTTGTTTTATTCCCTCTTCTCAAATTCAATTTGAATCCAAGTGCTTTTAATTTTTAGCTGCATCTTACAAGCCTGGACTTTCAGGAATATACGTTTTGAAAGCAGTGAAAGAAAAGACTTTCTTGTCATCAAAACCATAATAATTATGTGTCAAAGATAATTGCTGCTTGGTGTGTAATACATCTAATACTAAGTGACAGAGAAAGTAGTCTACCGGCAGACAAGAGTAACTGCCGGCTGGCTGAAATCTGATATAAAATTAACCGCCAGACTCAGGCTCTGTGTCCACCGCAATTTCACCAGATAAACCCCAATTACCCCCCAAAAAATATCCTTTTGCAATAGTTAGTCTATTTGTGTTTGTTGTTGGGAAATTTCTAAGACAAAATATATTTGTACATGGATAAAAATTAGTTGCGTGTCTCATAAAGATATATGCATGATTATATTACAAATGCCTGAGTTGCAGACACCACAGGAAAGACTTTTTTGATGAGGAAAATTGTTAATAAAACAGCTAAAAACAAAGCCCAATTCTGGGCAATATGACAGAAGATTTCGGAGCTATGATGGTTAGTTTTGTTCCATAACAACTGGATTTTGAATCTGTCTTATCTGAGAAACTAAAGCCACCAATGCAAAGCATTTATTTATATATGGAAGATGGACACCGCACCCTCGGGGCAAAGGAAGGTAAATGAAAATCCACATTCTACCACAGTAAAATGTGATGCTCTTTGAGAAATTTCTCCGCATTAAATAGCTGGAGGAGAACCATTAAAACACCAAGCTCAAGTGCTGTGCTGAGTTTCCATCTGGGCACTTTCACACCTGAGAGCGAATGCTCGGCTCTTCTGTTTGGTGCTCCCCCTGCCCCATTTACCATGAGCAAAATCAGCCATGCCACGGAGAATCTGGCTTGAATCCAGCAAAGGCTAATTTTGAACTCCAGCAGGCAGGGCTTAGTCTTTTGGTGTAGATCAGAATTTTGCCTATCTCATCAGTGGCAAAATTGCCTCCTTCACAGGGGGAGAATAGGCCATAAAGTTAAAACAGGACCAAGTTGTCGCAACCGTCCCCAATTAGCTGAAATCACTAATAGGTTTGTAGACAGTCATCAATCTGCTCCCTCTCGTGAAATAAATGGGCTGTGTCCAGCACACGTATGGAAATTTTAGAGGATTTCAGTGACCTCTGAATGTCCAAGGGGACTGATAGCTGCCGATTCTCTTTGTCAGGGTCAAGCCTAATGCCAGTGCAGCATTTTCAGTGGCCTGAAAAGTGAATCTTAGCGCTGCTTACTGAATTAGTGTTTACTTCCATCAAAAAATCTTGCTCCTGAGTAATTACTGTAGTGCATTTTCTTTTAAGGCTAACCTGCTTCTGCTCTGCATCAATAACATAGGTATTTCTTTTTTACTACAGTGTTTACACTCTTGAAAAATGCTGAGATTGGGAAAACTACATACAAATAGGCCATGAATAGGAAAATAATTAAAATGATAATAAATACACATACCTAACAAAAGTGAATAAGGTGTTTATAAGGCATATGACTTCAGGGGAAACAATGTTAAAATTAAAACTTTTGTTTTACTTGATGACCATTTATTTGATCAGGAAATACTGCCTCCTCATCATGCCTAGCTAAGGCAGAATCTCACACGTTTTATGCAGCACAAATTACAACTCAGGAAAGGGTGTTTATATATTTGTTTGTTTGTGGATTTTTTTTAGTTTTTTATTGTTTTTTATCATTCTTCACTGGGTATAAATTTAATGTCTTTTGCACTTAAGTCCTCATTTATCTTTTACTACATCTGTGAAATTCTGATGTATCTTTTCCTAGGTATTAGGCTGCTTACAGGCACATGTTACTGATAGCCTCCCCTTACTCAGTTTAATGAATCAGAGCAGAAATAATTTCCCTCTGTGCTATTCCATGGACCCTAGTATATGGACTGCTACAAAGATTGTGGGGCAGAGATGAGTCAATATAGATTGCATATCTAGAAAAATATTATTTTAAAACATTAGGGGTATAAATATAACCTTAAATCCAAACCTTGTAAACAATTACCAATTTATCTTCTTCCCCTCTAAGATTTTAAGATAGAAATAATTGTTCTCTTCTAATTTGACTTGGCAAGAAAAATTTAGGGTGATGAAAAAAATGTAATGTGAGTGGAATGAAACAAAATATATTGTGAAATTTTTCAAAAATTCATATTATGTCTTTCACATGCATATGTTCAGAAGTTTCTTTATAAAGTTTTCAAAAGTATATTTTGCTGAAGTTTTCTCTGTGGTCTTGAGCCCACCTTGCTTTTCCGAAGAAAATGTATGTAATAGTTTAGATTGCTTTAAATATCTGGCCAAAAGATGTTCCTCAGCCAAGAAAAAAACAAAATAGACTTACAACTATAAGTATGTATATATAGGAAATCATTAATACCATATCTTCAGGATCTTAAAAATAAATTTCTCTGATAATACTATTAGTAAGCCTAATGTAACCCAGAATTTTTGAGGGAGATTAAGATGCACTATAACGACAAAAATAGACATGAATAGGAAAAACTGAAATGACATTAATCAAAATAATTGCTTGGCTTTTTGAATGCAAAGACAATTTAAAATCTAAATAAGTGGAGAATATTATAAATCTGTTGATTATATTGCATAAGTTATGTATAATCAGCAAGATAAAATTTCTGTAAGGAAAGAGTTCTATCTGGTACTTAAAATAGTATCTGAAACCTTGTCTCAGGCATACATTTTTAGATAATCTGGTTTCTGGCATACCAAGTCATTAGATGCCAACTCTCAATTTGCCAAGCATAAGGTATTTTCTTTCCTGGAAGGCCATGGCACATTTTAATGTTCTGCTACTCTACCACCTACACGGAGTGTGCATCCCCTGACAGACTTCCATGATTCATCATTCCTGGCATCCACTTCCTTGAGACATCTGATTGGATTGAAATGATGTAAAGAGAAAGATAAAATATACAAACCAAGAAATTCACACACCACAAAAAAACACAACCTCGTTTCTCTTGTTCTTGTAGTTACTAAAGAAGAGTTTCAAATGCAACATATTTATCTTCAGCCACACACAAAAATAAATAACCTTGGGAAATTGTTAAAGAAAAAAGAAACTGGCAAACAATGTAAAAATAACAAATGGTTAAGATGCTTGTTTTACCAATCAGTGTCACAACACAGTACAATATCGTGGCTAGCATGTTTTGTGCATCTCGCTTGTCAATACATCATTCAATAAAGAGCAACAGATTTTTGGTTAGTTTCTTTGTTTTATTTCCAGCAAGAAAGTAACAGCAATAGTCCCTGAAGAAAAATGGAAAAGTGGCCACAGCTGGAGTGGATTGGGTGTTCACCATTTCTCTCTGCTTGGAAATGCTTTTGTAGAGTGTAGTTAAATATCATCCAGTCAGAGGGCAGCAGGACCATTGATCCACTTCGTCTTTCAATGAATTGGACAGAGTTCATCCTTTCCCACAGCCAAAACCTCAGCCAAATGGGTGAGTCACTCTGAAAAGGAAAACTAGGACTTTCCCTGATTAATACTTAAGATGTTAGAGTATTTGAAAAAGAAATTAGAAGAATGCATTATCTAGAGATATTTCCTGCTACCAAAGCACCCCTATTCAGGCTGATGAGTGAGGAATCCCAGAAAGCATTCTCCCCTGAATGTGGCCTACATCAACGACACATTTCTGAATTGTCAGTCTGAAAGCCCATCAGGAGTCCTAAAGAGAAGGCTGTGTCCTCGTTGGGGGTGTGTTGATAGATCTGATCCAGGACATGAGAGGTGACTCCTGGGTTACTCGGATGTTGGACATGTTTGGCTCTGGTGACGGTGCTTCTGATTGTAAATCAAAACCATTCTCCCCACTTTATTCAGTGAATTACATAATATGAGTAGGGCTGTCTACATACATAATTATCACTGCTCATGAGAAACAGGCTCAAAAGAATTCTCTGACCTTGTGCTGATAAATTGTGCTGGAGCAGCCAGGGGCCCGGAACTGCCAGTCTCAGTTAGAGACTCTTAAAATTAAGTTGGACTGAAGGAAAATCAAGCTTCTGCATAGCACGTTTCTCATAAGACTGATATTCCAATATACTGAAGACTGTTCCTCAGGACCCTGGTTCAAGCCCTACCTCTGCTCTTCAGTCAACACATCATTCCGGGCACTAAACAACATGCTTGTAATTTCCAACCTACCTGGAATTAGCTCCTGCAAGGAGCAGGGAGGGAGAATCATGAGAGAGGAAGTTAGAAAGAAATGGCTTTAAAAAGTACTCTTTCTAAATCAGAAACATCTGTTAGAGTCATAAATGGTTTTAAGTAGAAATCAGTGACAAGGGGGTTCACATAGAAGCAGACAGGAATGAAGTCATCCCTCATCGAAAGTTTCCAGGTACCTGCAACAAACAGCACCACAATATATTAGAGCAAACTTTTGAACTTGCCTGGTGGCTGACACTTGGCATTTTGTATTTGACTCCTATTACAGAGGACCATGTAGCACTAAGGACCTCTGTGTGTCACTCTGCATGCTGGGGCGTGACTTGGCTCCTCACACATGCCTGTCGCCATTCATTAATCTCACTGAAGACCTTTCATGTTATGATTCTTTAGGGAGTTTTCTAGAAGGAGCCAGTGATGAGAAGGATGCTTTTCTCCTTGGCTCTGACAAAACACTGCCTCTGACTTAGAAGGTCTTTCTGAACACATGAAAAAATACAGAATACAAAATGGAATGTTACAAATATAAAAAAGAATGCCACCTTCTACCTACCTAGTCATAAGGTTATGTCAGTGGGAAGGTTAGAAGATCGATCTTCACAGAGGGTCTGTAGGAGGACATCATAAGATGTTCTGTGCTAGTTGTCTTCTTGGTATACTCCTCCCAAACCTGACTTGAAAAACCAAATAATAAAAAATACCTTTCTGTTAAAAAAAATTAAAAGTTACCATGAATTCTATATTATTTGTGTAGCCATCTTGGAAATGCTTTAATGATACTTTTAATAAACCACATTCCACCACACACACAAAACCAACTCTTTTCCTGATTTATATTTCCACTGAAATTTAGGATTCACTGGAACTGAACTAAGCATGTTTAGCATCCCAACAAAAAACCAAGTGCCTTAAAACCTATTAGGAAACTATGATTTTAGATGTATGAATGGACATGCCTTTGCTTCAATTTTTATCACTCTACTGAAAATAGAATTACTGCGGACTGGAAAATAGAACAGAAAACATCAACCAAATTTTTTAATCCAACCCTGAGAGTCTGAGTAAGGTGAATACTGCTTTGCTACAAAATAGCTCAAGGAAAGGGAGGAGGGCAACAGTGAAATAAAGAATTTCTTTAAAAGCAAACATCAAATTGCAACCACATCAATCATTTCTTGATTTAAAAAAATAAATGAGTGCTTCTCTCCACAGTTGGAAATTTCATTACTTCTGTACATTCTCTTCTTCCTTTATAAGCTGACTAAGAACTCCTGGAAGTTTTGCTTTCTTTTGGAAAGAGGGGTCAGATTTTTGATGGCCCCAAATGTACCCCAGGGATTCTACCCCAAGACTAAAGTTTAACTTATTTTTTCTTCTCTTCTTAGCTTTTCCTTGTGGTGGAACAATAAATATATCTTTCAAATATACCGTTACAAAACAGGCTCCCTGCTACGCTACGGTACCCAAAGAGTTACTCACATTATGGGGTCCTAATAAAATACAGATCTTTAAAACTCACGTTTAAATGTCATCCTACACATGAGCATTTTATTGCATAATATGCACTAGTAAAAAGTCAGAGAAAAAAAGATGAGAATCTTTTATTTTTCAAAAAAAACACAAATTAACAACTGGCCATTGCCCTTGATTACACAGAGTTGTAGAGAAGAACAAAATGATTAATGAAAGTGGTGCCGGTTTTCTAGAAAAAATATAGATGAAAATTCTCTAAAAACATACAATAAGAAGAGCATCACTGGGAAATGACTTTATAACAAGGTTTTCCTACAGAGCCCAAAGTTAAAGCAAAGGAAAAAAAAATAGATGAAATAATAAACGATGCAGGTGTGCAGCAGCCAACTGTCTTTTCAGGAATAATGAAACACACTTGTGAAAATTTGCAAGACATGAAACTACTGTTTTAGATACAGATAAAAAGAAACCTAAAGAATGCTCCTTTTGTATGACGTAACTTACTTACATTGTATTTTCTAAGATTATTTATGGTTGATGTTGACCTCTACAGTACTATTCCATTCATTTTAATAATCAACTCAGGAATATACAGATAAACTACGTGCACCTATTTTAGATGAAGCAGAAGGCATAAATGACCTAAACTCAATTTAGGTCATTAGGTGATTTAGAGAAAACTGCAGTGAAGTATGCTTTGAACATATTGTACAGTTTGATTATAGTGGTAATTTTTTTAAAATTAATTACTTTCACTAATAAGGATTTCTGGTTTATGCTTTTGTTATTGGGTATCTGGAACAAGTATGGAAAAGAAACGCAAGTGACTTTTCTTCTCCAACAGGTCATACTCTGAACTGTGACACTTAGTAAGAGTGTAAAGAACTTTTGCTTTGTTACTTTGGAGTTATTCTCCTTCCTTATCTTTGTCTAAACAATGCAAGGAGTTCCGTTTCATCATAGCTGAGGCACGAAATGCATTTTTAGTAAGTTTTACACATAATGTAGAAAAACAACACAGAATGTAAGCAAATTAAAAATTTTGATAGAATATTTGTAGCCACCAACTTCATCTTTACCACCTGTATCTCTAAAGCCTATATCATCCTGCCAGGACCCACAATCCCTGAAGTTTTGGTGATTCTGCTATTTCTAAAATGGTTCTAAAATGTATCAAGTTTATCTAACACTTAGTTGCCTCTACCTTTAGGTCACGTTCCCTGTGTTTTTATCCATGTCCGTGAGTAACACTTGGCAACAATGCTCAGAATATGAAAGAGGAGAGCAGGTTACAAAAGAAGGCACAACTACAATGAGAGAAACAAGAGAAAGGAAGAGAGGAGGAGGAGGAGGGCGGGGACAAGGACAAGGAGAAAGAAAAGAAAAATGATTTTGCTCCATAGCTGGATCTAGGATACATTCATTTTCCTTATCTTTACTATTTATTATGCAAAATATTTTGTTCAAATCTCCTCTTATTAACAAATATGCCTTTAATAGTTCTCTTAAAGCTGTGAAAATTTTTGTACCTTTTCCCTTCCAAAAGTACTAGAGTAAGATAGATCTTTATCCTCTTTTTCCCCCTCTTTTCTCTCTTCCTTCTTTTCATCCTCCCATCTTCTCTCTTTCACTCTCCTCATCCCCCATCTCTCTCAGCTATTTTTCCTTAAAATATTTTTCTTAATCTAATTTCCCTTTTATAAGACAGCTTTGTCATTTAGTAGTTTACACGTGGATCAATCATTCGGAGAGAATCTGGGAAAAACTTTGCAAATATCTTGAATTCCTTTGCTCATCATGAAGCATATTTATTGTTGTTAGAGGATATACAGTTTCTGTCGTTTCCCTTCCTTTGTTTTATTTGTAGTTATTTTTCACATCCAAAGACATTTCAAAGACAGAAACTAACTTAGTGATTAGCGGGGCGTTCAAACTGTTTTTAGGAAACAACAGAATAGCCTGTAAGATTTCTTTTTAATAAACCATTAATCTATAAAACAAACCCATTGATACCTGAAAGATTACAACTATTGAAAGGCCTGTTCTTAAGAACTAGCGGTTTTGCAGACACAATGGAAAATTTTAAACCTACAAATAGATAGTATATAACTTTAGATATAGCAATAATATAATCAAACTTACATATCTCAAGTGTTTGCCTTTCCTCTGCATGTTTCAACTTCTGTGAGGACTGTGAAGGAATCATTGTTTGCTTTTCACTGTTTTCCTGGCAAAGAATTCACCTGCTTCTTTGGACGCAAGAAAACTTGTGTTTTCAAACTATATATGAAAAAAGTCAGAATGATGCTCTCTAAATATCACTGCTCTTTAGAGGAAATTAGCTCCTGGATTTTGTTTTGTTTTGTTTTTCTTTTACAACTCCCTTGTACTTACATCATGCTCTTCCCTGGATGATGCAAATGATTTGCAGATGTTGAGTGATTCATGCTTACAAAGAAATTGGTGGAAGACACAGTATTTTGGTTACAGTGTTAGAAATAAAGATACAGAAAGGTCACTGGTTGCATGAAATCAGCAAAGTGGCAGAAATAAACTCTGAGAATTGCAGCATAACTTGGCTTTATCCAGTGACTGAACAGAGTGAACACTACAGAAAATAGACCAAGAGTCAGGGCATCAGGTTCAGTGATAACTTGCTTCGTTATAGTGGACCTCAGTTTCCTGATGGATAAAAAAAACTTAAAGTTCAGCGTTCTAGAGCTTGGAAAAGCTATAAACTCAAAGCTGAGCATCGTGTCTACTGACCTAAGCATATTCCAATTTAGTCATACAGATTTGCCTGAGTTACAATGAAATTTTACCCTTAATTTTTGTTTTAAAAGCAAAAACCATTTGGTAAAATTAAGAATAGATTTTTAAAAATCAAACCTTTTTTTGAAAAGACCTAATTAAGGTATGAAGACAAACATCTGCGTCACTTAATATTGACTACTTTTTTCTATTCTGTTCCATCTCTCCTCCCCTGTTATGTAGAGATGAGAAAAAGTGATTTACTGAAAACAGTGATGTCATGAGCAAGGTAATCAAGTACTTCTAGATAAACAAAAATTTGTGATTTTGTAATTATGCTAGGTATATTTTTCCATACCTAAAACTCCAAGCACTTACCAGTTTGAACATATCCTTTTGTATGTTCAGTATTAATGAAACAGAAAAGTAAAATTCAAGATCTTCCACAACAAAAGCTGTTGAACCTACCTTTTATTACTTTTAGATTTTTAAATTCAATTCCTTGCTTGTGTGAGTACTATGGTTACACAATCTGTACAATCTCTCCTTTTCTATTGTCCACTCAGTCTGCAGAGAAGAAGCTTATGCCTGCCAGTAACATCAAGACCCCACAACCCTTGCTCTGCTATTCGGTGCTGATCCCTCTTCTGTGATTCCACTCCTCAGCACCACCCTGAAACATGGAAGAAGCAGTTAATGATAAAAATGACAGAAGTTATTGCACCTTACTGCAATACTGGAAGCTTGCGAGAATATTATCCTTCCTCAGGCCATATTGAGGATGATGAAAGCATTCTGTGTTTGGTACAGATGTCAAGTGTCTCCAAAAGCACAGAATTAACTCAGTTCTGTCCTCCCAAACACCTACACCAGCTGTTTTCTTTAGCCACAATGTACTAATGAGACCGTAAGCAGGAGCGAGTGCTTCGTGGTTTGTTCTAATTATTGTTTGGGTTCTTTTTCTTTTTTTCTCTGCAAGTACTCTTATATTATACCAATATGAGATCGTGATCTTGGTCAACTTATGACTTAAGGAAAATACTAAGAAAATCTAAAAATAGTGAAAAACAAATGACTGTCACTGATAGCCAGGATAAAATAATTCAACCCTGTTGTTTAGAGGATGGGATTATTTTACATATCCCAAATTAACCTCAACAGGAAAACTGTCTTTTTTGAGTAAATCAGGAAAACAGAATGAAATTTATGAATAGCAAGAACATGTAGTCATTCAAGACAATGGATTTTCTTTTTTGAGTTTTCTTAACCCTCTCCTTGAATCAGTTAGTGAGAACAGGTAGAACAAAGCCCAAGCGGACTCAATTTTCAGTAACAGATATATTCTTCCTGTTACTGGGTCAGTGTGAGGAGAATAAACAGCAGTGAGAAAATACGCTTCTTCAAAAGGATATTTTATATTGCAATTTAATACCAAAAGATGATTTGTCAAATGGAAATATACTAGTAATTTTTCTTTCTACAATGATATAACTTTGACAAATGAAGATTGTTAAATACAGGAAGTCACTTAATTCACAATGAATTCATCTCCATCATTACCGATAATGGTAATCACTCAAGACATATCCTGATGTCCTTTGCATATTCATTCATTAACCAAGGAGGCAAATCATCATTTAAAGTTGTGAATTATCTATGAATATCAGATGTATAGCACTGTAAGCTATCCAGCTGTGCCTCATTTTTAATCTTAAGGGAAGGACACTGGTTGAGCTTTCTATATAATTTGGGGGAAAAGCTTAAATAATCATTATAACTTCTAGTTGTGTAATTCTAAATAGTTCAGACTGAATTGGTCACAATGTGTCTCAAACTAAAAAAGAGGTAAATTTGTTATTTGGAAATTCACAATTCCAAAAATCTATGGCATACAGTCCTTAAAGCAATGATTCATCTTCTGACAAATAATATAAATGGATTTATTTATTTTAATAGTCAATACCTTCCTGCTTGCATGTATTTCTTCTCAAATATCCTAAAGTTCTTTTTCCTTTATGTTAAATAATCATTATTCTCCAGTTCTGAACAAGGAAAAACAAGGTACACATCATTGAAAGTCTTGCCATGAGTCATTTGACAATTATCTGAGAATAGTTATCTGTAGAATCCTGACTCACAAATAATTTAGTCATCCAACCTACCTTCTTTGTGCAAAAGCTTAGTGTGAAATGGGAACCAAAGAAATAAAATAAACGTCTGTCTACAATATCCAGAACATCTGCATGAGTAAAAATTATTCAAAAAGATACCATGAATTTTTAAAATGAAATGCAGCATGTAAAAATTAAGCACCTGGTCTTTTCCTTTATATTTCATTAAAAAATTCTAAATAGACTATCACCAGCTGTACATTTTACTGCATTTTATATTATGGCAGGCAGTCAAAGCAGTACTGCATCCTGTCTCATCTGAGTTCCACATAAAAATTAATAAAAAGATAGAAAAGAGAAAGATGGAACAAGCCTTTTGTCAGATGCAATAAGAAATTAAAGATGCTGTGCAAAACATGAGCATATAAAAATGATCCAAAAAATTTATTCCAAACAGAGGAATGGAAAAGAGTTTTTTTTAAATTTCTTATTAATTCATACTTCCTAAAAGAAACAGGAATTTGGATAAGAAATTTCACTGGCTTTGGAAAAGGGATGCACTTAAATTATAAGTGAAAACTGTGGAAATCAGTGAAGTCATCTTATCTGTTATTTTTTTACTAGATAACCTGACAATTCCTAAATCAACCAAAAAGAACATATATGTTTCAGCCAGGAAATGACACTTTCTATACTTGACAGTTGGTTGGCACATTCTATAGCATCAATACCAATCAAGTTTCCATAATCTTAAGAGAAACAAGGAATAACTGGCAAAAAATGTACAAGTATTAATCACTAAGCCTCAAATTGGCAGATAAGCTTAGATTGCAATTGACATTTCTAATTGTTTTATGTAAATTGATTATTCAGAAGGATTTGAAAAGGTTGTCTTTTTAACTTAAAAGCATCCATTAACTGTGTTATGACATTCTTTTAGTGTTATTTATTGATGCAGTGCTCACTTTCTAAATGTTTCTTTGCAGTTTTTGTTTGATAAAAATACTCTGCATATATGTGGTGTGAATGTTAGAATTTTCTTTAAGCCTGTTTCTGATTGCTTCTTTTTACTTAAAGATATAAGGGAAGCCCCTCGCCTTGCATCAGATAACTCCAGTTTAAATACAACTTTGCCAAAATATTTATCTATTTCAAAACATTTATTTATTCTTACATTTGTAGTGAGCACCCCTGAGTGCCCAAATACTGTTATAAGTATTGAGGATGAAAACTTGGCAAACCAAACGAGGCTCATCCTTCAGTTTCATCTGTAAAATCAGAGCTAGAATTGAGGAGAACAACTCACTAGAAGCTAATCCCTACTCTTTATCTCTTGTGAATGGAAGTTGCAAGCTCACGGAAAACTAACACCTCACAGATAAGATCATTTGAGTGACTGACAATATACATACGATGGTTGTTTGCATTTCAGGAAAATATTTATTGTCCTTAAGTACTTTTTCTATAGCCATAGTCTTATAACAAAATGTAAAGTGGAGAGACATTTTCATTTGTTTCACTTTTAAGGAAAAATAAATGTGTTTCTAATATAGATGTATCATGTTCTTGAATGATAATGATAAATTATGGTGACCTTAACCACTGTTTTGACCACAAAAATATTTACACCATTTCTAATGAAAGATATTCCAGCATGATTTTAAAAGATATCACATATTTATAAAATTCAAGTTGTTTTACTACTAAACACATCAATTATTAAAATCTTTGAGACAAATTATTGGCTAAAGAAAATTTGGGTTTTTTTTAAAAAGAAACCCTATGAAACAAACAACAATGCTAAAATAAAAGTTAAAGTATACTATTCATATTCCTTTTTCTTCTTTTTAAGACTAATGACTATACTACATTTTATTTTATGAAAATAAATTTAAAATTCTAAACTTTGTCTTTTACATCATAGTCTTTGGAAAAATAAAAACATGAAATGACTTCTTCAGCGTTTGTCTATAATTTATACCAAATTTGTAAAGACAAGTAAAATCATCATGTTACTATTACAGAATTTAATATGAAAATTAAGGAATATGACATAACATTGCTTTCTACGGTAGTGTAATCACCAACGTGATTGTCAGGAAAATGACTATTGGTAGCATTTCCACATTTCTACTTACCAGGGGGGAAAGATCAAAGGTGAGGTGCCTTTATTTAATACCCTAAATTTCGAATTAGCATATAGCTACATAAACACGGATAAAATTATGCAAGTTTTGTTTTAAATATCATTAAATTAGAATATTCTTGTGTGTCTCATCATGTGAAATGTGCTGTTATTTGATGTTTATGTGAGATCAAATAATCTTTTACTCTTCATTTTTATTGTTCTTGCTATTATTGTTCTTTTCCAACTTTCCGGCATTGTTTGAAAAATAAGTGTTTCTAAATATTGGGGTCTTTAAGAATAAACTTAGATTCAATGAGAAAAAAATTTCACTGTTCCTGCTTAACGGATGCTACAATTTCTCAATATCCCTTAAAGAAAGGTAATATGTTTTCATGGAAAAAAAGCTATTTTAGTGACCTTTTGTCCCTCCCTAAGAGGAAGAAGTCTGACAAGGAGATATATGGCGAGTTTGTTATTGTAAATTCCAGATCTTGTGATTATCTCTGACTCAACTTCTGGGGTTTTTATCTGGAATTCCTGTGAAGGGTCAACAAGTGTATTACCAACTGTTTTCACCTTCTTGTGACCCTCATTTTAAAACTGTAGCTTATAAGATCCCCAAAGTAGATTACGGTGCTGTGTTTCAGTAGATGGACATTGGAAAATGATGCATCTGAGATCATTAGCTTAAATCATCAAAACTTACAACATTTTTATATAATTTTGTACATGCATTTTTATCTTGAATTGTAAAATTTAAGAAAAAATTGAGATAACTTTTTACTTCGATAATTTTTCAGAGTCAAATGTTCTAGTATACTTTTATTCCTGAGTAAAAGTTGTTTTTCTAGCATTGCTGTAATTAAATAATCCCAGGTATGGATACATAGATGTATTTATATAAATACATCTCAACAGATAGGATAGTGAAGATTCATGTTGCAGTTTTAGAAAAACAAAACATGCCTATATTAACACAATTTGACCCTCCTACTGATATCTACATTTTTAAAAAATGAAAAGAGTAATTTCTGAATAAATTTTAAATTATTGCTTCATAATTATTCCAATTTTTACTCTGTAGTTTTTCAGCACTGGTTAAGAAAAACAGAACCCCAACTGCTGAAGGATGCTTTTAACTTTGGTGCTTTTTCTAGTAAAAATTGATTTACTAGAAAAGAACTTTCATAAAATGAATAAAAGGAAATAAAATTAAAGATAGGAATTTAGAAAAACTTCTGGAAGAAAGGCACTTCAATACAATGCTTAAAACAGTGTGGTTTCAGTGGATATGAGTTAAGAGACCATTTATTAAAGATGCGGGCACATACATCTCTAAACTCACTTTTCCATCAGCAAAAAGCAAATACAATTGTGTCTATCTCATGGATCCAATGTAAATATTTGCTATAATACTTGGCATATAAAAATTGTTGTTGCTGTTGTTGTGCAAATGCCCAGTATAAAATTAAAAATTTTAACTGGATGGTAAGCAATTATAGTAATTGGATGATTAAAGTAAATGATAGTAATTGGATTATTATTGTATACATTATACTAAATAATGTGTAAAATATGATTGTACCCTAAAATATAAATCTCAGTTTCAAATGCAGTTGTGGGTATAATTAAATTCTTACAGTTATAAAAGCAAAAGAATTTGAACAAAGAACAAATGCATGAATTCAGTTTATTGCCAAAACAGAATAATACATGGAAACCATAATCTATGGGTGCTGCTGTCTTTTATGTAGTACTTGATGCCTTTGATATTGTTGAGCACTTACATCAAACCCAAAGCTGAGAACATTCAAAGTTAAAAGCACCAAAAAATGCACATAAGAGTAATAACTTTGTGAGATAAAGAAATCTAGCATAGTTGTATTTTCACTAACAATTTTTCACTATTGCTACTTAGTTCAAGAAAAAAAAAACATCTGATATGTTAAGCATGTTTTGGGAAACATACAAAATCTCTGCATTTGCTTAAAGGTATAGAAGACTCAGGAGAACAAATGTATTAGTGTAATTTCATAATTATCACATATTATGAAAGTTTTTTATCAAGTTTTGATGGCAAATTTCAAAATTCAAGTTAATACTAATTCTAATTATGCCTTCACATATGCATTCAGTTATTTTAGTTAAAATGATTGCTAAAGCCCTCATTGTTTTGAAAAAGGTCAACCAATGTGGTCAAACAGGATATGCACTTGGAAAGAATTACAGAGAACAAATTGTTACCCACATTAAACAGACTGAATTCCTCACTTGGTTCATTCTGAAACTGAGTACTGTTGATGTACTTTTGTGATCTGTTTTACACTGTTGTCTGTTTCTTATCTAAATAGTAGCATATTTTTGCTTTATAACGGACAATGCAGGTAACATGGTATAATCACTAACCATGATTCTCAACTTGACTAGATTAAGAAACGCCTAGCAGATTGGTAAGCACAGTTGTACACATATCTGGGTTTCCAGAGATGATTGGCACACAGGCCGGTGAGCTGATAGGGGAGGACCCTCCTTGATTGTAAGCGGCCCTTCTATGAGCTGATAGAGGAGGACCCTCCTTGATTGTAAGCGGCTCTATCCAGTAGACTTGTAGCTTAGATGGAATGAAAGGGAAGGAAGTCAGTCTGCATTTGAGAAGTTCCATTCAAGCTTAGCAAGTGAATCTTTTTCTGTTGCCCTTTCATTTAGACAGTGAACTCCAGTTTGTTTCAGTGTAGACTCACACGAGTGACTCTTCGGGCTCTTCCAAACCTTCAGTTTCAGGTGGGCCGTACACCCTTAACTC